TATGTATGGATTAGTAACTCCATTCCTATTTGACTTTGACACCACTGATCTGGAAGATGCATGACTGGGAAGGGAGGCTGGCCTGTCAGAAAATGAAACAAAGGGATTTGGACAGGCCATGTGCTCACTAGTATCCACACAAAGCCAAAAGACCTACAGAAAGAACTTCAGAGGATGGACCCTACCTGGAAGGTTTATGGAAGGATATGTACAAGAGTCACATACTCCCTTTCCAGTCAGTCCCTTCTCTCCATGAGCAGGTTTTTGGATTGGAGGCTTTTTATCCACTTGGCTTTGTATCAGTTTAGCTTAACAAAGTCTAGGAAATGCATTGATTTATAATGTGATTCCATCTCCTTTATTGGAATGTTTTTCAGTATTTAAGGAGTGATATTGAAGAAAACATTCTCAATTTATGAAAAAATTTTTTATATATGTAACTTGGTGTCCCAGGCAACTCTCTGATATTCTAAATTATAGATGAGCTATCATTCTGTTTCATTTGATGGCATTTATACCCAGGGATTACCCTGCACTAACAAAATCACAGATAAATATGTAGAAGATAGATGGACAGAAGAGAGATGAGGAAGAGACAGAGAGACAAAGTGAGAGACAGACAGACAGAAAAGAAAGAGACAGAGAAAGAGGGAGACAGAGAGAGAGAAAAAGAGAAAGAAAGAAAGAGGGAGAAAGAAAGAAAGAAAGAAAGAAAGAAAGAAAGAAAGAAAGAAAGAAAGAAAGAAAGAAAGAAAGAAAGAAAGAAAGAAAGAAAGGAAAGGAAGGAAGGAAGGAAGGAAGGAAGGAAGGAAGGAAGGAAGGAAGGAAGGAAGGAAGGAAGGAAGGAAGGAAGGAAGGAAGGAAGAAAGAAAGGAAGGAAGAAAAGAAGGAAGGAAGGAAGGAAGGAAGGAAGGAAGGAAGGAAGGAAGAAAAAGAGAGAGACAGAGAGAGATTTGTGTTTGGTCTAGACCATTTCATTAGTATAAGAGACTCCAATACAGACATTTCCTCTAAATTAGCCCTTTTTTTGAAAATGTGTCTATATTTTATTTAATAGTTTAAGGTCTGTTCATTTGATCAATTGGGGAGGACCAGAAGTTGTGGTAGTGAAGGCCTTATTAAGGTTAAATAAATAATAATTTTGTAAAAGACCCAGGTTCATTATTTCCTTTAGCTTAATCCTGTAGCACGTGATTAGGATCATAGGAGGCAGATGGTAGATAATTAAAGAATATCTACCATTTATATGTTTGCAAATCATTTTATGGATTTTATCCCATTTGATCCTCACAACTACCCTTAGAGGTAGGGACTATTATTATCCCCGTTTTATAGATGAGTATACTGAGGGCAAATGGAAGGTAAATGATTTGACCAGAGTCACAAAGCCTAGTAAATGTCTAAGTTTAGATTTGAACTCTGATATTCCTGACCCTTATTCCAACATTCTATCCCCTAAGCCACCCAGCTAGGTGGGCATAACCAAGGTTCAGGATTTGTCAAGGCATGAATGATGAAGAAAAGACTTAGAGAGTAGGGGATAGCTTAGAAAGTTGAACTGGTTCACCAAGGGATCAGGATTGTTAAAGTACTTTGAGACATGGGATTAGACATCATAGTAAGTATAAAGAACATGTTTAAATTTGGAACTATGCCCAAAGGGCTATAAAAATGTGCATACGTTTTGTCCCAGCAATAGCATTTCTAGGGCTGTATCCCAAAAGAGATCATACAAATGGGAAAAGGACCCACATGTACAAAAATATTCAAAGCAGCTCTTTTTGTGGTGGCAAAGAATTGAAAATTGAGAGGATTGGGAATGGCTGAGCAAGTTGTGGTATATGAATATAATGGAATACTATTGTGCTATAAGAAATGATGAACAGACTGACTTCTGAAAAACCTGGAAAGACTTGTATGGTCTGATGCTGAGTAAAATGAGCAGAACCAAGAGAACATTGTTGTGCGATGACTAATATTGATAAACTTAACCCTTCCAACCAATACAAGGATTTAAGACATCTCCAGAGGTCTCGTGATGGAAAATCCTATCCACATCCAAAGGAAGAACTATGAAAGTTGAATTGCTATTTTTTTCTCTTCTTTTGAGTTTTGTTTCCTCCCATTGGTTTTAATTTTTATTTACACCACTAATGTGAAAATATGTTTAATAGGAATGTAAACGTATAGCCTATATTAGATTGTGTGCCGTCTTGTGGAGGATGGTGGGGAGGAAGTTGGAGAAAAATTTTAAACTTAAAAGCATACAGAAATGATTATTGATAAATCAAAATAAATTAATAAAATTTTAAAAAATTAAAAAATTAAAAAATTAAATCATACCAATTTCAACTCTAAAAAAAAGAATATGTTTAAGAGTAGTAAGGCATAGGGAGATACAGAATGTTAGATTATGATCAGAGAAAGGAATTTTGGAGTTCTTGAATGTGGACCTGAAATACACAGGTGATGGCAAGAAAAAAGATGTAAATATCTCATAGCTAAGGGGAAATAGTGCAGTAGGTCATGGGTGCTTGAGAAGGATGGGGAACTGGGAAATCAGAATATTTGAGGGAAGGTGATGAATATATGTTGGTGTACCTTTGTATAAAAGCAGAACCTCCCTCATGATGCCTTTTGGCATCCTATGATGCCTAAAGGAAGTCACCCTGGCCCACCAATTTCACAGCATTGAGTTTTACTACTCACGTGGCACTTCTTACTCCCTACTTTTTATTGCAGAGATTTCTGTATATGTCTTATCATCTTCAGGACTTAGAGGATCAGTGATTTCACTGATATGTGCACTCTTTCCCCCAAGATAGCTTGCCAAACTCCATTTAAATTAGTGGATGGACTTTAAAATGTTTACATGACTGGAAAATGCCTTCCTGGGCAGCCCCTCTGGTGAGGAACCTTTTTGAACTGAGGCTGGTACTCAGAAAACATAGGTAGTTCATCTCCAGCAATGAACTTGGCCTTTTCAGCTTGGTAGCATCTGCTAGACCTTGTCTCCATTGGAACAGCCTTTTTCAATCCATGAGGAACTTCGGTGGAAAATGTGTCATCATTCCAGCTGATTTGTGAGCTTCTTCAGGGCAGGTAACATGTCTGAGACAGTTTTATATCGTGTATGGTATGTTGCTCATAGATTTTATAGCCAATGAAGATTTCTTGAGTGAATGAATAATCTCTCGTTTCCAGAAAGTAACATTGAAAATAAGAAAATAAAAATAATCATTTTTCTTTTACCTATTCATATTTCTGGCAAATATTTTGCAGCAAGGACACCAAAATTATTTGTTAAAGCAAATGTTTTTTACTGATCTCTAGATATCATAGAATTTCAGAGTTGCAAAAGTCCAAAAAGTTCAAACTCCTACCCCATGGTGACAGCCTTTCTATAACCTCACTGGAAGTTAGATGATGTCCTTTGTTTGAATACTTCTAGTGAAGGTGAACTCACTACTTGGAAAGCAAGACTTTTTTTTTTGAGTGGGTAGTAATTTTGAAAAAAACATTGTGGCACAGTGAATAGAGCATTGGCCCTGAGTCAGGGGGACCTGAGTTCAAATACTAGCTATGTGACCTTGGGCAAGTCACTTAACTCCATTGCCTAGCCAAATAAAAAACCAAACCAAAACAAAACAAAAAACATTGTGGCAACTAGATTGTGGAAAGGCTACATGATCATATGACATGAAAATCATTTGAAGAAACTGGGCATGTTTAACCTGAAGACGAGAAAATGTAAGGACAAGTGATAGCCATCTTCCAGTGTTTAAATAGTGGTCCTTTGAAAGACTGTTCTGTTTAGCCACAGAACACAGAACTGGGAGTAAAGAACAGAAGGTTCAGGGATGTAGGTAGTATAAGATATAAGGAAAAGCTGTATAGAGCAACAGATTTAGATCTGGAAGGGACCCTAGCTGTCATCAGTTCTAAGCCTCTCTTTTTATAGATAAACAAACTGAGGTCTATGGAGGCTGGGGCTTACCTAAGGTAGCATAGGTAGTAAATGAGAGCATAAGTGTTTAAATCCAAGTCCTCAGGGTTAAATACGACACGTGATCTAGTACATCACACTGCCCCACGCTTCTGAGCAATGGGAGCTAGCTAGAAACTAGTCTAAAAGTGGAATGGTCTCCCTTGGGAGATGGTGGGGTTCCAGACTCATTAGTCTAAACAGCACCTTATAGTGGAAAGAACACTGAAAGAGAGCACAGGAGACAAAAGGCTCCTGGTTGGAACCTCAGCTCTGCCACTTTTTCCTTGGCAAAGTTGGACCAATCATGTAAGATCTCTGGGTTTCAATTTTCTTCCTAACTTGAACTAGATCAGGGTATCTTAACCTTTTTTGTTTGGTTGTTTTGTTTGTTTCTTGGACCTCTTTGACAATCTAGTGATACCCATGGGCTCCTAAGAATAATGATTTTTAAGTAATTGAAAGAAATGCCAAATTTGAAATTTGGCATTTCTTTCAATTACTTAAAAATCATTACTAGTGAAGGTAACACTAAAGTTAGTAAAAATAAAGATGTAACATTTTTCACATCCAAGTTCATAGAGCCCTTGAAATTTATCTATAAACCCCTTGGAGGTCCATATCCCCCAGGCTAGGAAAACCTGGACTGGATGACCTCAAAGGTCTTTTCCAATGCTAAATCCTGTGATTGACTGAACTGAGATTTGATGGGTAGGCAGCTCACTTAGTCTTCTCTCATCTTCATACCTTCCTCACCTCAGCCCAGGGAAAAGTGAACTATACTGATTGACAGGGATTTGCATACCATCTTTTACACCAAATCACCTAGGACAAAAAATTAAAGGGTAAGGTTTCCCGTGTCTTTCTTCCCCGATACTGGCCCATGCCAAACGGATACCCTGCTCATTTGTGCTTTGATATAAATAATCTGGAGACAGCTGCTGCTTTTTTTAGTGTGGTTTTGTTCCTCCTACCGTCTCCTCCACTGACAACCACTGCATTCAGCCGCCTCCCTGTCACATCCTCCCATAGCAACAAAGAGCCAACAAACACAGCCAGGGCTGAAGGCAGAAGAGAGGCAGAAAACGAGTAATGGGGCATCCTGGAGCGAGAATGCTTTTCTTCCACTGTTGCAGGAGGAAACTAGCTGAGGTGGAAGTAAGAACAGGTACTTAAGTGATCAGTAGCAGGGGGGAAAATATATGATATGGGGGCAGGGCTGGCTGGTGGTAAAACGAGAGGGAGGAGGAAAGCTTCAGTCAAAAGCAAAACTCCTTTTTCACTCGAAGGTAGAAAAAAAGTTCTAGTGGCAGAAGGAAAATTGACTTTGTGAATTTACTAGCATTTAGGAAACCCAACGGTAGCATGCATGTTACTGATATTTGTTTAAGTAACACTTCAAAAATTCCTTAGGTAAAAAAACAAAACAAACAAACAAAAAAAAACCACAGCTAACAAGGCATGTTGTGCCTTTTTTTTTTTCAAATCTCTCAAAACTGGAAGAAAGAATGCCTGAAAAGTGCCTCCCACTCTATGGGTGCAACTAATGATCCAAAGGAATTTTAAATTAGACCCCCTTGTCTATTTAGTTAAATTTAGCACAATTTACATATAAAGATAGATAAGAAGCCAGTCAGCTGGAGCGCTGAGGAGGGCACACACAATGTTGATAGTCCGGGAACCTGTTTTAGAAAGACAGTTGAACTTTTTTTTTCCAGCCCATCCTAAGGGTCTCAGTCTAGAGATTAAAGCATGGAAGCAGAATGCAGGAAATGTAGATTATACTGGTGAACTTTGTGGGATCTAGAGGATGTTCTTTGGGATAAGTTTTTTTCATCTCATTTGGAGTATTGTATTAGTCTTAATTAGTCTTAATGTTTCCAAGTGTTACCTTTTTTCCAATTCAATATAGTTGTCAAAACAATCTTGCTAAATTAAGGGTCCAATCAGAAAAATTTCAAAATCTGTCAGTGGCTCCCTATTACTTATCATTTACTTATTTGGGTGCATCTTAGATCCCCCATAGTTCTGTGAATGCAGAGAAGGAAATAGTGTGGAAATAGAATCAACACTTTTCTAAGCCAAGGCACAGGAATAAATGCCTCCTCCCTCTGAATTTTCCATACTCTTAGGGAAGAGAAGGCTTAAGGATGAAAGAGAAGAATTAAAAGAATGGAAGGAATCTTCCTCTGCATAAGTCTTTTCCTTGAGTCAACTTCAACCCTACTGGTGGGTCATAAGCCTTGAAGAAGGATTGAGTTTTTTATATAGCCCAGTTGACGACTGGCCTCCAAGGAAAAACAATTGGAAAGAAGACTGGAAGTCCTAGCCAGGAACAGATTTGTGAGCAAAGGAAATCAGCCAGAAGAACTGATGCTTCAGGTACCAAGTCTCTTCAATTGGTGCCAACAATCTGGAAGGCCAGGAATATGAAAATCTTGACTGTGTTTGCGAACTCCTGGAAGGAATGGTTGATAGGGAAGTCTGAGCCTAAGTACCTGGATATTCTCTTAGAACACCTGGGTTTAGGGTGTAACTATAAACAGGGTAAGAGTTACCTGGGTCTAGAGGTGTCATGGACTCACAACCATCACAATAGTTGTTTCAATGTATTTTGTTTTACTTCCTTTGTTTCTATAGGTATGAATAAAGAATGGCATCCAGTTAAACCATCCTTGTGTGATTGACTCCATTATGATAGGTTTATGTAATTGAATGAAATGCTGCATGAAGACAAGAGAATAGACATTCCCTGGTGGCTGGGGGCTGAGCCAAAAGTTTAATTGGATAATTCCACATAGACTATACCCCTAGACTGATGAGGTAAGTGCTGTCACCTACAAAAGGGAGTAAACTAGGACAGAGGCAACCAGCTCTCTAAGAACACGGAGATCTTGGCATTATTTCCCTAGTGTTCTCTGTTGTTAGGAGACTCAATGCTGTTGTTGTTTGTCCTTCATTCTCGAAGAGGGAGGTGAAGCCATGACAAGCAAGTGAATTGAATTTAAGTGAAGGAGGGCTGTGCAAAGCCACCAGCCTCACTTTCTCCTATAGAGTCATCTGGGTCCAGTGGCTAGATATAGATCAGGATGCCTGAAGATGGCCCTGGATGCAGGGGGAGCTTACATGACTCCCATAACTGACCAAGGTGAGTATGAGCCTACCAGCCCCTGGCCCTCATCAACAAGTAGGGTTTAGTACCTATGCAGCAGTGCCTCTTGGTAGCTAAACAAAAATCAACAAGACATAGTCCTTGAGAAGTTTACAACCAAATCGGGAAGAGAAGGGAAATGCATAAATAACTACACTATAAGGGAGAATATGGTAGCTACAATGGGCTATGGGGATCAAAGCTTCTCAAATGACTTTAAAGCTTTTTTGGAACATTTAGGATGAGTCTTGAGTGATGTTTAGGATGCTGCCAGACAGCTATGGGGAAATAGCATTTTGGTATACAGAATAACACGAGAAAAAGCATGGAGACATAAGAATGCTGGGCCTGTTTCAGATGATGGCTAATAGTTCAGTTTGATACATGTAAAGGGATTTTAGGAGATAAAGAAAGAAAGGCAGGGTTTTATTGTAGAGACCTTAGAATGTCAGGCTGAGGATGTGGTTTTGATACTTAATTGAAAACTATTCAAGGTTTTTTTAAGGAAAGAGATGGTGTGGTCAAAGTTGTTCTTTAGAAAGAATAATCTTAGAAGAACACGTATTGACTAGCTTGGAGGAGAAATTGGAGTACATGTTGAAGGTTATTACAATACCCTAGGTAAGATGTAATAATGAACTCAATTAGGGAAGTATCAGTGGAAATGGAAAATAGATAATAATGGAAAAAACAATTCTAAACTTAAAAATTGATTGAAAGGATGACTCAACTTTCCAATATAAGTGACCAGAAGAATGTTGATAAATTTAACAGAAATAACCAGAAAAAATAAACAATTTATGTTTTACAAAGTGCTTTTCTAGAACTATTACAAAATACAAATAATACTGTTACTACCCAGTCCACAGGGCTGTTTCAGGGACAGAGCTTTGTACACTGTAAATTGCTATACAGGTGTGAACTGTGATTATGCAGTAAGTACAGTTATTTGGTTCCAGGAGGAAGTTAGCCAAAGGTTGCCAACTCTAAAACTTCATCTAGCATTTTTCAGTCTTTCTCTAGATGTAATTTACATAAAACCAATCCAGTAATGGGAAATGAAAGGAATGTCCACAATGCAGTTCTACCCACGTCCTCTTTAATTTTGCAGTGGAGCTCCTAGAACCACAGCTAGCAATCAGTGTATGATAACAGTTGAAAGGAATTTTCTGAGAATTGGGGTATCAGCAGAGGACAAAGAAAGTTCAAAAAGATTGATTTCAACACCTAATGATGTCTCTAGCTAGCTGACTAGACATGGGTGACCAAATTCTGAAATCACATAAGAGCTGAAATGGCCCCTGAAACTAAGAGCTAAAAAAGCAGAGACAACCTAGCAACTGAAACTCAATTAATATACTGGCAGATGGCAGCAGAAGATGTCAACAAAGAGTAGCAAAAGAAACAGCTCAGGAAAGATTTTTGAGAGAGGAGTTTAATGGAAATAATATAAGAGAGAATTATATCAGAGTGATTAGATCAGCAGAGAATCCCAGATCCATGAAGAAAGCTGTTGATATCAACACAGGACACTAGTGATTGCATACAGCAATCTTTGGAGGCAGAATACAAGTCCTATCTCTTTGTGTGCCCCCTCCATGAATATTCACCAGCCACATGCAATCCCTATTTGTATGTCCCTCCATTGGTGCCACCTGGCCACACACATTCCCTGAATATATTCCCTCTCCCACCAGAAGAGTATTAACCTGTGAGAAGATACCCTCCTAGGAATATGGGAAGAATCTTTCTTGGCCCTTATTTTCCTCTGCTTTTTAATTAAATGTCTTTGCTTTTCATGGATACAATTTTTGGTTAGTAAAAGATTGTTGATGTTGCTTTTCTTTTTAACCAATGAAAAGACTGTTTGGTACAAGATAGCTGTATTGGTAGGTATGAGCTATGGATTTTGAGCAAATACTGACCCACAACATATCTAGAAATTTCAGACAACCTCCCCTTCCAACCCTTTGATAGGGGAAGAGCTTTCAAGAATACATTGCCTGCTTCCTATTAATTCTTCCTATTAATGAATTTATGATTAAAAGAAAATATTTTATTAAATAATGTCATAACATTTCCATGGCAAGCATTAGACTTGTATTCTCTTTACATTTCACAGTGTTCTATGGTTTAAAATAACCCAGAGGGAAAACAATCAATTCAAAACCACTGAAGTATAAAAAGAAAAAAAAACCCTAAAATGTTCTAAGTCAGGGGCCAAGAAGACCTTTGCTAAATGAAACTTGATACATGAAGTTATAGAATCCCATTCCAATTCACTCTGTTGTGCTGAGATGTTGTAGCTTATACATTATGGATAAAAGGTCACCTGCTGTTTTGAGGCTCCCCCAAAGAAGATCATAGCTGAGTTATAAATTAATTTAAAACCTTTTTTAAAAGTGTAAATGTTTTGCTGAACCTTTAGAAATGCTTCCATGGGAAATTACTAAGAATGCAATAAAAATATTTTTAACTGCCTTAAATTGGTAACTTCTAGGATGATAGATTATTTTTTATCACTAGTTCTAGGCTGTAATTCAGTAACTCCTTTAAGATTCAAAGCTGCTCAAAGGAATGGGAAAATCTCCAAGGACAATATTTTTATTCTATCTTTCCTTTCCTCCTCCTCCATCTCTCCTTTGCACCCCCCAAAAAACAAAGGTCTTTAGTGATTTTATAGAACATACCTTGACAACATTTTTTAACTGATTTGTGATTTTTAGAAAAATACCAAAATCTATTTTTATATTTTAATTATATCTCATTCACAAATGAAAACCTATTGACAAGCCCTGAGGAAATTACTGTGGACTAGTTTCTGAGTTTCTCTCCAGTGATTATTGGACCATGTGCTAACCCATACACAATTATAAAAGACCACCGTCAAGAACATAAAGGTGCTTGCTCAACTCAGCTTGTTTTTAGCTTTTCTGATATGCCAGCAATATAGATTTATCTTCATACCAGTGTAACCAAGCAATAATTTATCATGGTGGTGGGCAAAAAGCTAGTAACCTGCCATCAGAAAGACACCTCTCATATTCATTCCTCATTCTTTGGATTGCTATGTACCCAGTTTGAAGTCATGCCAAAGAAATGAAACTGAGTCAACACAACCCAATTCACAGATCCCAATAAACTTTATTCAAGGATGTAGTCGAGCCCACTGGATCCCTGGTAAAGTCAGGGTGCAAGAACACAGCTGCTGAATGATCCCCAATGCATTCTAAATCCCTTTTCTCCAGGGGTGTGTTCTGATGGGGTTTGTGATGAATCCTACACTGATTCCAAGCACTAGCATCAGTAGGAAATCTATCTGGCAGCAGCAGGTAGGCTTAATTATGCATTACAATTATTCGATATTCTCTTCTGGGGTGCTCTCTCTAAGCTTAGCTTCCCCAGCTTTACTCTGGACTTTCAAGCGATTTAATTGGTCAGGAGACAAGGTATGATTTTCTTGCCCTGTTTCTAGGTCTAGCCCTTGGGGTCTTTGGGCATCAAGATTGGTTTAGTGTGTGAAAAAACGCCAGGCTTAGCCTGTGGCTAGCCTCACAAGTAAAACATGTACCAGGCATGTAGAAGGTTGTCCTACTTAGATGACCTTGGAAGGGGATGTTGTCCTAGTATAGAAGGCCTGAATAGAGTGGTCTCTCACAAAGCTCAAGTATACAGTAGAAGAACATAGTGGAGAAAACACTAAAGAAGATCTCTGCCATCCATGTGTATGCATGTATATGCGTATTGTATTAATGTGAGTACATGTATAAGTACATGTTTTTGGAGGGAGAAAGAAAGAAACAGAGAGAGAAAAGAGTTTATAGCAAGCCAGCCTTGGAGTCAGCAAGTCCTACCTCTGACATTTTAGCTGTGAGACCCTGGGTGAATCATTTAACCTTTTATGACCCCCTCATCTCTCCACCAATTCTCTAAGACTTTAAGTTCCAGAGCAGTTGTATCAATAAAGGATGTTTCCTCACTAAGTGTGCCTAATACCATTGAAATCATAGGCCAGGTCCAAATACACAGACAAATGTGTGTATATTCTAGCATAAGTGTGTGAATGTTATGTGTATGTATATGTACACACATGTAAATGTATATGTTAACGATTAACCAGCAAGGAGAATTATAGACAAGTGTATGTGTCTAATACAAATGTCCTTACATTATTGAAATCTTTGTTCTTGAAATATATATAGATCCTTATGTGTGTATATATATTTATGTATTATGTGTATCTGTATAACTACATATACACATGTTCATGTATGTATGCATAAATTTGTACATTCACATGCACACATATATTCAGAACTTAGAGCTAACTTAATAATCACTCATCATTGCTATGATTTGATTACTAAAACAATCACATGGCAATGTAACAGTAAGTATGGGCCTTTTAATTAAAGAAATCATAAGACCTTATTTATAATTTATCATAAAACTTATTTCTAGCCCTATTCTCTCACATACAGAAAATTGAGCTTTTTAAAGCGGGAAAAATGTCATGAA